CTCTCTCTCTCTCTCTCTCTCTCTCTCTCTCTCTCTCTCTCTCTCTCTCTCTCTCTCTCTCTCTCTCTCTCTCTCTCTCCTTCTTTTTCGTCGTCGTCGTCATTGTCTGTGTGCAGGTGCGCGGCGTCTTCCTGCAGTGGCGCAGCTTTAACGGCTCCTTCCTCTTGACAACGACGATGGCGGGTGGAACAGAGGGAACCAGCTCCGATACCAATGCAATCAGGCTCGTCTTCTTCCTTATCCACCATGCACAAAAACAGATGGCAATCACTCTGGCGCCAGGCGCCCACACAAAACTCAAAGATATCATGAACAAGAACACAGTTCAGATTCAGATTACTTCAAAAATGGCTATGGCGCCTGTGCGCCCTCACATCACCCTTCCGACACTGTATCCTCAACAACTGTTCACATGCACACTACTCTGGATCTCCCTGGATGTCCCTCACATGCTAACACCCTTCACCTAACTCACTCACATACACGCTATAGTCTACCTCTAACCTACAGCAGTTATGGCTGCATTCTACCTCTACCATTAACTAGCGGCTATGGCCGCTTCGTCTCCCTTTCAGCCCACTTCTTCCTCGGGCACCTGCTGACCTCCTTGCAAAAGTCGCTTAGGCAGCGCTTCCGCACGGCTCACGGTCTGAACGAATGAATAACTGGACGCGGCCTCTTGATTTTTACTTTGGTTGGTCACTGGTCTGCTCCTTTCCACCGGGCGTTGGGTGCACACAGTCCCAGATGGTACTTCCTGACTGGACAAAGTGCAACTGGGACTGGGTACTGCTGACTAGACGAGGTTGGACTGCCCACTTGCCCACTTGCCTCTGGCCTGACTCTGGCGACTCTCGAAAGGCCACTTCCGGACCTTCCAGAAGTCTGTAGTCTTAGCCTTTCGGGACTGTAGCTGCTACGACCTTGACCTTCAGGACAGTAGCAGCTACGACTTCTACACAGCTATGACCCCTACTTGACAGACCTACGGTTGAAAACCCGACAACTACACAGACCTACGACAGACAACAGCCAACTACCAAGACACAGGTCACGGGTTCAAACACACAGGGGTCAACTTGGTTCTGTACACGGGTGAGGACAAGGTCTAGGGATCGAGCCCTGGGATCTGCATCTGCTACTGCAAAGGTGAAAACCGTTTCATTTTTTAAGGGAGGGAGGGAAGGTGGAGGGGGAGGGGGAGGGGGAGGGGGAGGGGAAGAATGCCTTAAAGCCTTCATACCTAGGATGCTCCGCTGCCCTGCCATGCAGGCACGGCCAGGCAAGCAGAACTGGGTCCGCCACGAGTAAACCAAGAGGGTTCAGAATGTGGCCAAAAAAAAAGAAAGAAAAACTTGCTCAGCAGACCCTCACTTGAGCTGAGCAGTTGAAATACACCTGTATCTCCAATTCGGTGATGGTTACCCAAGAGGCTCCAGGGTATAACTTGGGTTCAGAAGGAGGCATCAAAACTTCCTTTTCCATTATATTGCCTATTGTGAATTAGCAAGGAGGTTGGGGGTGGCCCGAAGTCAAAAGATGGTTGAATTGCAATTTTACACGGCAATATTTGTCTTCCGGTTCTTATGGTTTTTTTCATAAACCTTTTCCTTAATTTGGCTCTCGGACCGCCTGGCACCTCGACTGGCTATGCCTGCCAGGATCATGGGCTACTGCCACACCCCTTTTATCCTAGGACTGAAGGGCTGGGGTGAGGTAAGCCAATGTGAGTTAGATGACCAGAGACATCCGTCGAGGCATCGTGGAGAGACTACTGAGGTTAGATGACTTCTTGAAATGCAGAAGACACTGTCACAGCCACACTTTCTCAGTGTGTGTCGAGTGCACACGCACACATACGGATCAAATAGTTTTCCACTTCATAGCATTTTCCATCATCCGAGACACTGAAATGCGAAAGCCAAATTGTTCTGCCGAAATTAGCCATTTCCTTCAATGAGGTATGCAAAGCTTCACAAAACAAAATGCAGACTTCCGTTCAAGCATGTAATGCGCGCGCGCTGTCTCTTATACACATCTAGATGTGTATAAGAGACAGGCCTAATCTCGTGCTCTCTCAAATGGAGTGTGGCTCCTGCT